GAAAGAGACTCAAAATACAAAGGGAGTGGTGGAGAGGCGAACAGGAATGTGAACTCGGGAGAGGTGAGGTGAAACATCGCTACCGAAGCCAGTTTTATCGGCGTGCTGGGAGCAGGATGATGTGGTGGCATTGCGTCTTCTGCTTCTGACCCACTTGCTGAGTGCGTTTCCTTGTCTGCGGTGTGGGATGTGCCAGCTTGGACGATGTGGAAGGGCTTGGTGCTGTGTCTGCAATGGGAGCAGGGCAAACACGCTCTACCTCGGCAAGAGGGGTCTGAAGGAGCATGAGGCTTTGTGCCATCCATGAGCGTAAAAGAAACCAAAACTCCTCACGGCTCCTCCCAGCCAATCTACTCCCTATCGGGCAATTACTGACACAACACGTATGGTCTGGGCTTGGCCCAGAGTATGGGCTCGGGAAGATACCTGCCTGTTTATAAGGCATACCATTGGCATCTGACAAATAATTCATAGCAACGATGGTTGGTGCACGTGAGCTGTGACTAGAGCAGGGTGTGGGAGCAGGCTGGCTCTAATTGTCCCTTGTTTATCTTGTTGGTGCTCCTGGCTGGTTTCTTTTAGCCATAGCTGTTTTTCTAGATAGCAGGTCTTTATGTGGAGGGACTTGTCTTTTTGAGCCTTGGGGTTTTATTCTAGGTAGGAGTGAATTGTTTTCCATCAGACAGTGTTGGTTGCAGTGGTTTTTTATTTTTTTTTTTTATATATTTGGTTAAGCAGGGTAGCTTTCTAGCTCTTGTGTGTCTGGGCAATTTAAAGGCTTTGTAAAGGATAGCTGTCCTAAGGGAGATCTTTTTTAAACACCTGACTTACCATGGTGTGGCAGGACAGTTTTACAGTGTCGGGAATAGACTTACACTGAATTTCTTTGTTCAACCACAGATATTTTCTGTCTGGCTTTTGGCAAATAATTTTCTGGGCTTGACTTCCCTGTCTGCAGAGCTGGGATAAGTTATCAAACCATCTCTTTATACATTGTGAGGTGGGGGAAAAATGCAGATCACGTGGTAGATAACCTTAAAAGTGCTGCGTAAAGGATTCTAAAGGCATCACACGTGGCATGCGTATCTTATGCTACAAACCTGTTCCTGTGTCCTGAAAGCCAGAGGAAAGCTGTTCAGAGGAAATTAAAGACCAGACCGAAATGCTTTAGCAGGTTTTGCTACAAAAGCCTTTTGTGAAAGAGTGCTTTGCTTCAATTAATGCATAATATTGTGTTAAATGGGAGGTAAAAATGCCCATCTCTTACTCTAGCGTATCTGGAAAGGAGGTCCGCAAGGATTTTTTTAATGCCTGCAGCTTCATCTTTTTACTGTGCACAGATTTTAAAATTCTTGGTAGTGTTCACTCATGAGAGATGGAAAAAATTACTTCCTCATTCAAAATTCACTAAGAAATTGTTGCTTTTATTCTTTGAGCAAAACCTAGGTCCTTTGGGCAGGCTCTTGCATGTCTTATCTATTAGAAAGAGAAATAAGACTACCCTGAATGCAAAAGACAAATATGCTCTTCTAAACATATGGATTTATTTGTTTTATGTTGCATGCTATGTCAGGCAAACTATGGTTTTCCAGTGAGTTATGCCTCAAGGAAACAAAATAGTGTTTGAAGTGTAATTCATTGGGTGGATAATTCTTTGCGTATTTGTGGGAGATGTGTATCTCCCTTAGCATATCTGTGTCAACCCATGGTTTTGGTGCTTCCACAGGATGACTGCCGGGAGTTTCGGGATCTCTTCAGGCAAGGGAAACTTTCCTGCACTAGAGAAAATGACCCTGTCCGGGATTCCTCTGGGAAGCAACACAGCAATAAGTGCATCATGTGTGCAGAGAAGTTGTGAGTAGAGGAAAAACTAGCTTTTTCTGTTAGATTGAGAAAGCAGCTGCTGGAGCGACCCTGCTGCTGATGCCACTGGATGGGATCACTTGCCCCTCCTGCAGCCAGTGGCAGGGAAAACTCCTTGCTCCCTGGAGCACCGTGGTATTCACTTTCTCATCTTGCTTCTCTTACAGCAAAAGGGAAAATGAGCAGAAGTTTTCTAAAAACAGACAAGGAAAAAATAAGGTGAGATTAAAGTATTAGGCAGGTCAATATAAAACTTCATTGGATTTTCACCCAAGATAGAGAAAAGACAACATGATTCTACTCAGTTGCTCTGTCTCTACTGATTTAATTTTGAGATCTGCTTTCTTTTCCCTGCTTATTTCTTGTGCATGCTCTTGAGTCCCTCAAGTGAACAACTCTCCTGAATGTTATGGTCTATCCCACTGACCTGTGGGTCTAGGGACAGGCAAATCCCATCAGAATAAGAAACCAGCTGCACTATCCTGAAACCTGGCTCAAGGGTGGTGAAGCCAGTGCTGCTGAGGGTGCTAGTTAGGTTAAAATGAAAAGTCTGGGTGGAAAGCTCTGAAAAGTTAAGGAGGTCATCGTATAGTCGTATTCTGGAAGGAGAGCTCAGCTCTCCATGGGCCTGTGACTCAGTTTTAGCTTTTCTCATTGGAAACTTTGTTCTTGTGGTTGCTGCCATTTGCCACCTTCACCCTGCCGCCCCTCAGCCACTGTGCCCCCGTGCACTGATGCTTTCCTGGTGAATGCAGTTCTCTAAGGGGGGGGAAGGTCCTTTTCAAACACTTAACTTTCAATTTCTGCCATGGCAGGGACTGGTGCAATCCCTTTAAGCTCCAGTCTTGGGGATAATCCTGTTTCAGTGCTTTTCCTAAGGACTTTGGCACAAAAAAATGGAAGTGTGACTGAAACTTGCTGATGGCAAAGCTGGGAGGCAGTATCAGCAGAGGAGGATCAGCAGATCACTCAGGACTAATTGGATAGCGCTGAGGCCTGGAGTAATAGAAACAAGATAAAATGTAATAAGGCTGCAAGATCACACAGTCGGTGATTAACAAGAATTACTGCTTGTTGGTTAGAAGTGACAACGGATAAGAAAGCCCTGCATTGATTAGTGGGTCAGGGATGCAACAGGCCATGAAAAAGGCAAATGCAAGTCTTGGATGTACTCGGCGAGGTTTTTGCAGCAGAGGTCAGGAAGTTAACAGGGCTCCAGAAATGCTCGTTCAAAGGGAGACTGTTTGAGAGAGGCTATTAGGGGAAGGCAGATCTGTCTCAGAGGCAGGGGATGGGGGTGGTGAGCTGGGCTGGTCCCAGGGAACAAGGCACAGAGGGGCTGGGAGAGCTTTCCTGGGCTTGTTGGGGAGGGAAAGCATCGCCTGAGCTGCACAGGCTGGTGATGGGGAGGAGCAGTGAGGCTCTCAGGCAGCCCCTCTGAAGTGGGGTGCTGCATTTATTTCTGATGGGAGCAATGAAATGTGGCTGCTGGCCACAACCAGCAAAGGCTTGTCCTGTGCTGGATCATGTCTCTCCTACCCGTGGCTAGTTTGGCTCTAGGGAAATGTGGGGGTTTGTACTCTGAGTGTTTTAACAGCATTAATCCAGTAGCAAAGCTGAGGAGCTGGAGGCTGAGGTGCCCTGGGTGGGATGCAGGACACAATGCTGGGAAATTGTCCCCTGACAGACAGGACAAAGTGCTGGAAACTTCTGAATGAAGAGAAGGATAAGGTCGGTGACCTGCTAAGGGCCTTAATGGAAGATAGCCAAACCCCTCCTATGCTCAAAATGGGCAGAAAATTGCAAGTGTTAAAACCAGTTTGTAAAAAAGTAACTGGATCCCACTTACTGTTTATTATCCTCTGTACTTGCTGTTTGGAATCAGTTATTGCAGTGTCTGAAATAGTTGAAATTAGGGGGACTGAATGTTTACATCCATGTTACATAACAGGGGCAAATTAATATGGTTTCTGTACAGCGATTTTGAACGGGGAACAAATTAATCATCAAATTAATCACGCATTCTCCAAACAACCAAACACTGCTCATGGACTATTAAGTATGTTTGCATTGTGCTTTTGTGTTTTAACTGCTGCTTCTTGATTGACACATCCCAAAGTGTGGTTGGTTTTGGGGGTACTACTCACTTTGTAAATGAAATTATCTGAGCTACAATCTGGGAAAAGGCTGTAACTGTGTATTAAGGATGTTGGGAGAAGAGGGAGGGACGGACTTCATTACTGTATCGGTCACATCACTGGCATGCTTTGGATAGCCCAACAAGGAGAACAATAATTAGTTGGACTATATTAGAAAACTCCCATCACGTGCTGTGCAGGCAGAGGGACCCATAATTTTTCTGACTCACTCCTCTGTTTATACACTAAGTGGCTGGAGCTGCACACCCTCTTCTTGCCCACACCCAGGGCTCTCCTGTGATGCACTTGTGATGGTTCAGTGCTTTCCTGGCAGGAACCCCCAAGTTTCTAAGAATCAGATCAATAGGGTGAGGAGGACAGGGTGTCCTAACCACTGCCCTCTTTCCGCAGGAAGATTGCAGTGAGTATCGCTCCCGGTTTGAAGCTTCTGGAGGACGACTGTCCTGCACGAGGGAGAACGACCCTGTTCGGGATTCCTCTGGCAAGCAGCACATCAACAAATGTCTCATGTGCGCTGAGAAGTTGTGAGTACAGCTTCCTCTCAGCAACAACAGCAAAGAGGGAAACCTCCTGCTGCGAAACTGCAGCTTCTGCCTGTGGAGCTGCATCTGGGCGATGCCTGGGAGAGAGTCCTGGATCCCAGTGGTACTCCAAGAGCTGCTCCGGCACTAGGGCTCCACCATTGCCCCTCTTCCCACTTCCCTTTCAGCGTGAAGGGCCTTGGGGGCAGGTGAGAAGCAGCATGGAGTAGAGGAGGAGAAGCAAGTTTGATAGAGAGCAACCCCTTTTCCAGGGGATGGTCGGGTGCGGGCAGCTCCTGGGGAGTTTCCCATGCGTGTACTTTGCTTTCCAGATGCTCTCTCTCTACTCCCATAGAGCATATGCAGAAGCAGTCCTGATATGAAAGCAGCCACCTGGATCCAGGATGTAGCGTACAGTGGGAATGGTGAGGAGAAGGGAGAAGGTTTAGGGGTGGGAATTAGGAACAGGACCACCAGGAACAGGGACTGTGGACGGGGAGCTGGTGCCTAACGGCATGGTGCTGGCTTACAGGGCAGCCCCGGGTCCCGGTGGTGCTTGCACTGCCATAGCATTCCCTTTTCCTCCTCTCCTTCTTCCAGCAAAAAGGAAGCCCAAAGAGGAGGTCAGTCTGGTGGAACTGCCCAGCGCAACAAACCACTCCCTTCAGAGAGAACAAAGCAGGTGAGACAGAGCTTGGTGCCTGCCCTGAGCTCAGAGAAAGGGGCTGGTGAGAGTCTGTGGGATCATGATGGCCAGGGACTATCTGTGGTCAGCCTGGGGTGACTGTGGTGCTTGGGATGCTGGAGTCAGCTAATGATGGGGGAGAAGCAGGCTGTATTGCAAAGCCTTGCTTGCTTGTGAGATCGACTTGTGTGTAAGCATACAAAGTGGGCAGGTTTGGACCTGACAGAACAGCCCCTCTTGCTTTCCTGCTTGTGATGCTATATGTGAGATAAGGGGCAGGTTCAGACTCCCCACAATCCTGTCAGCCCTCAGATGATAACATTTGGTGGGTATTAAAGCCTGTATGGAGCAAGCATCAAACCTGCTTCTCCAGGAACAGCCTTGCAACTCCCTGGGTCTGGGAGGAACAGTGGGGAGGACAGGAGCTGCTTTAGCTTTGCTTCTTCTCTAGTTGTATATAAGTTGTTTCTAGGCTTGGTTGTTGAATGTGATCCTGCCCCTTTTGCAGAAGAGCTGCGGTGGTTCAGGGTCACGGCAGAGAGTGAATGAGAGGCAACCCTTCTCACCGAACAGAGGGTGAGTACAGCAGCCCCTGGGATGGCAGCCTGCCCCTCTGACCACATTGGCACCCTTTTCTGCCCCCTTCTACCTCCATGTTTTTTCCTAGGGA